GATGTAACCGTGATGTTTTCACGACATGTTTTTTTTTTTCTTTTTTAAATGTGGTGAAGAAGCAAAGAAACAAATCCACATTCTGACTTAATTTTCGGATTGAATAGATATTCCTTCTTATTCAAAAGTTTTTCATCTGTTAAATTTGCCTCTTTTTAAGCGGTGGATGAGTTCCTCCATTGTCAGTCCATTGGGTACGGGCTCATCCTTTTATTTATTGATGTTCCTATTTCATTATTTATTTGATGCGGTATATTTCCAGGCGCTTACGAGTGGGCCCAAAAGAGCTTGAGGGATCACGCCAAGGACAAGAGGCCGTATGTGTACACCCGAGAGCAACTGGAGAGAGCCAAGACGCACGACAAGCTGTGGAATGCCGCCCAGGTAGAACGGTGACCTCAATCAACGGGGAGAATAGTATGGAAAGGACAGCGAGCGCAACAGAGTCGGGTTACTCTTCTGCTTGCCTTTTTTTTTTCCAGCAGAAATCTTGTCCTCTCAGCATTTTGGTCAAAAATGTCCGTTTTGGTTGAAATCAACCTCTGTTCGACTGTTGATTGGCAACCCTTTCATGCACCGTTTAACCTGATGACATGATAAGCTGTCCCCTGTAGTAACCGCTGTCCCTGAAAGGGTTAAAGAATGGAAAAAGCTAAACACACTTTTTATGGGGCGTGGGAGAGTCTACTTTTTGTGTTTTTGACAGAAATGACAGTCGCGCTTGGAATTGTGCACGCGTGCGTTTCAGTCACCCAATATAACATCCTTGCTTTAGTATCAGATGGTCTCCGAGGGCAAGATGCACGGCTTCCTGCGGATGTACTGGGCCAAAAAGATTCTCGAGTGGACTTGCTCGCCAGAGGAGGCGCTCTCCATCGCTCTCTACCTCAACGATCGCTATGAGCTTGATGGCCAGGACCCCAACGGATTTGTGGGTACGCCACATTTGTACTTGCTCTTTTGGACTCATCTGGTGAAGCCAATGACGGTCTCCTTTATTGATTCCGCTCGTTTGTGTCTCGCCCCCACCTTTAGGTTGTATGTGGTCTATTTGTGGCATCCACGACCAAGGATGGGCAGAGAGAGACGTTTTTGGAAAGATCCGCTACATGAACTACAAAGGCTGCCTTCGCAAGTTTGACGTACCCAAGTTTGAGAAAAAATACTGTCCCAAAGGTCTTTGAGAGGCATACTCTTCTTTGTTGTTATTTCTGTTTGTTGGCTATTACTAGCTATGTTGTGACATGCTGGTCAAAACCTTTGGTGCTGAGGTTTTTCTACTAATTTTCATTTATTCTAAGTGTGAGTATCTATAGTTTTACGGACCATAAGATGTTAAGAGACCACCTGTCATAAAATGACAAGAAGCTGTACTGCATCAGGGAGTACTTCAAATTTTGATAATTACTAATGCTAATACATTTTGTGCTGGTTTAAGAAAAAAGGACTGTATCTATAATTTTTCATCGGGTATGTTTTTACTGTTGGAAAACTGTTTTTCTGAAACAAACGATAAAAACTTTGTGTTTATTGTTCACTGGTCTAAATTATTTGTGGAAAAAGTAATGACAACAAAAAAATGAACATTTTGAAACAAAACATACTCTTCGCCTGTCTGCCAACACCTACGACGTGTATTTGTACATCGTGAGTTGCATCACGGTTACATTAGGAGCTTTAGTGAACACTAATTACATTCCGCTTTAATAAAGTCTTAATTAATGACACTGAGTGTAGGGGGGCAACCTTGACCTTTGAGCAAGCCGCACACGTTTCATAAACAGCTATCTTACAAATACAAAACTACTCGGGGCTGTTTTTATTTTTTGAATCATAACATTTCCGACTAGATATTGTTTTGCCCTAATTAGCAAGACGCCATCCACGCACTGTCGGCCTTTGGTGCAGCCGCGGTCGGGTTGGCTAAAAGAAGTAAAGCGTTAATATGAGCGTATGAACTGAACTTGTATCGCAAACTAACTCCGTCAACTAGAAACTAGTGTACTCTCACAGATTGTGCCTGAGCAGTTTCGGAAAAGCGGAAATCGGACGAATTCTATGATCAAACTAAAGAGAACTATTCTCGTGACGTGTGTAAGTAGAGAGTCGATGCAGTTCGCTTTTCTAGCTGCAAATCCTTGCAGGGCGGCACAACTGACGTCATTGTTCAACCGCGAGACGGACGTCGCGTTGCGGCGGCGTTGAGGATTTACGTCATACGTCACACACAGCACGTACACACCTCGAGCTGTGCAAGTTGCGCGAAGAAAAAATGGCGAACAAAATAATCATTGCGGTCTGTGGGCACGCAGAGAAGTTGACATCTACTCGGTGTCCCGTCAACCAAGATAGCAGTTAGCATTAGCCAAATATTTAGCACCTGCCACCTGATTAACTAGCAGGTTCAAACTTGTTTCTGTGTCGAAGGTGACCCCCCCCCCCACACACACACACACTTTTCCTCCATTGTTATAAAAATGAAGCAGCTCCGTTCAAACTCCCGTGAGAAGTGTGACGCGAAGCAACGTTTCATCCTTGATTTGACCCAAATGTAAGTTGACCATTCCTTTGACATTGCAATATTGTCACCTTGCAAGTCGATTTTCTCCCGACAGATTCACTTCAATGCACGTTTGAGAGGCTTAAAAGGCAAAACTGATAAGAAACGACATTGAGCTCTGTATTTGTGATTGTTGTTGGCCATCTGTTAGTTAGCAGTCTACTTCCTGTTTTATGGAGTATGAAGAGTCAATGCTGAGTGCCTTTATGATTCTCGGGAGGGGTCGTAAATTGTCACCCAGATATATTGAGGTTGTCCTTGCTCAGGCTGCTGGGAATTAATGATGCGTTTGTATGGGATCATCGCTGTCATTTCTTTGGGGATCGCTTGACAAAATTAGTGGGACAGGGGGGAGCACTTGTTTTCCTCTATTGAGTTTACTGGATTATTTTCCTTTCTAAGACAGCTGCGGTAGGCTCCGGCACGACCCGAGTGAGGATAAGAGGTGGGGAAAAGGGATAGATGTATGAATGTTTTTGTTTCTCTGTTCATCTTCAGGTGTGCAGGTCATTCGAGGACAACAATGAATGTAAATTTAGTCAATAAACTTCGATATGTTACTCTATGAAAAGCGACGGCCGGAGCTTAGTAACAACATCCAAATACTGATCGGTCTTGTGACACATTCAGATGTATTGTTTATTATTATAAGGTTTTGCACCTTGCAAACATCTTCAGAGGCTAATTTGTTTTTAAATTTCAAATCACATTTGACACATTTTGGCAGCATGAACTGACAAAATCAGTCGTGAGTTTTGTGATTCAGTCCGCTTGCAAGCCCCTGACAAATGATGGGTTCCGTGATACAAATTGTGTCCGTTTCTTGGCATGCAGCATACTGATTAGTGTTGACCGAAACAAACTCATGATAATGTTTGAGTGTTTCTTCACGTCCCTTCCGCTTTTCCATCATAGCTCCACTACACCTAAACTGTGACTCACAGAAAGTTGCAAAGAAACTGCCTGATGCAAAAATACTTTTAATTAAGTCCTTTTGCAACTCGTGTTTCAACAGCTTTGTGCAGGAGGCGTTTTCATCCCGGAGCAGGTTGCACTATGAATATGAAAATTTGTTCCAAGGCTCATTAAGGCAGAACTGCTTCCCGTGGAGCAATAAATCTGCTGTTTTATCCCACCAGCTGCACCAATGTTTAGAAGGGCGGTCATAAAATCAGATATTCAAGGCATGAGCGCGTATATGCTGTCGGTCATTAAAACAAGAGGTTATTGATATTCGCATTCAAGAACTGCATTCCAGATATTTTACAACATGATACATTTCAATAAACGCTGCATTTCAAGAGTTCAACTCCAGAACAATTGTCGCACAGGAGCACGATTTTGCAAGACGAGTTGGTAATGATTTTCAAATCAATATGACTCAATACAACCTATGTGTATGTACTGTATCAGGACAATGGCTGTCGGTATTGTTCTTACGAGCAACAATCCACCTCACTCCACATTTGATTGTCTTTATTTTATGTTTGCTTGGACAAAAGGCGGGCGGACGGCACGCTGATCGACTGGTTCGCACGTCGGCCTCACAGTGCACAGGTGCAGGGTTAGATTCCAGCTCCCTGCGTGCCTGCGTGGGTTTTCTCCGGGTACTCCGGTTTCCTCCCACATTCCAAAAACATGCATGGCAGATTAATGGAACACTCTAAATTCCCCCTGGGTGTGATTGTTAGCGTGAATGGTTGTTCGTCTCTGTGTGCCCTGCGATTGGTCGGTGACCAATTCAGGGGCTATGTAGTCCGCCTACTGCCCAAAGATGGCTGGGATAGATTCCGGCATGCCCGTGAGAAGTGGCTTGGATAATGAATGGATGGATGGATCCAATGCAAAGCAACCATGATTAGAGAACCAGAAATGTCACAAGAGGTGCTATAAATTCAATGAATATTTTTATTTCCTCAGAAATAATTCATTTTCACAATAGTGTTTTGGTTAATTTTGGAGGTAATTACAAATGACAACATAACATTTGAATGACCCTGAAAGCTGCAAGTTAGACACAAAACTGGAAAAATAAGAAACAAAAGTCAACCCCGCAAGTGTGTTTCACTTTTTCTTTGGCTTTTTTTTTTTTGTGAAGAAGGTACCATTAAAGCCAAAAGGTGAAACTGTCGAGATTGAACAGAACTGCGACTGGAATATTGTGGCATAGGAAAGGCTTTAGCTACTCAGTACAACACAAACAATACATTTGAATTCAATATCAATGACAGGAACAAATATATGTTGGTAGTTTAAGCAGCGTACCACAGCGACGGTGCAGATATGTAAGCGAAGTTTCGTTTTATTAACAGGTGACGAATATATCAGCAGAAACCTTCAAAATACAATTCAGCTGCACATGGTAGTTAAATTCAATTAACGTCAGGATTATGAGGGCTTCCATGGGAAGATTTCTCGCCCGTACGGGCTCCCTGGACCCCAAAAAAAGTCAAGAACCCCCGGCCAATTAGCACAATCCTGTTTTTCTGCTCTTGCCACGGTCACGACGTGATTTTAATCATGCTCAGTTATCATCCAAGCAACCGCCGTCTGAATAATTCAACCATCCCGGTTGAATGTAGTTTGCTTCAACGTGGATGTTCGAGTCCACCTGGCGCTTCGCCGCGCTTTCTGGCTCAAGCTGCCGCGCGCGGTCATCGCTAAGCTGGAGCGCAGCGACCAGGTGTCGCTGCGGCACCAGATGTGTCGGAACAGTTCTCTGAAACGCGTGGACATGAGGTTGTAGAGGACGGGGTTGATGGCGGCGCTCAGGTAGAAGAAGACGCCCGAGACCACGTGGATGTGCTCGAAGATCCGCAGGTGCCCCTCGATCGACGTGTCCATGAAACTCCACATCAGACGGTCCACGTGGAAGGGAGCCCAACACAGACCAAAAACGATCACCAGCACACCTGGACAGATGGGATATGAAACGGAGGGTTCTCAGACAGGGGACGGCAGATGATCAACCCGCTTCTCACCCAAAGTCGTCTGAGATCGGCGCTCAGTTCCCTCAACGGAATCGCTACAACGGGGATTCCAAATCAGCGGGCTGCGTGTCTCACTCAATTGCTCTGAAAATGTATCTTTGTTTATCCGTCTATGCCGGCGACGTATCGTGACAGGCAGAGGAAGGAGATGCTCTTCCACTCAATGGCAGAAGGGGCAATAAACCTCTGTGTCCATACAAGAGAAATATACGTTTGTGTTCAACGAAACAGCCCGGATGGATTACTGTATATTGTTAAAGTTGTTCCATTTCCATCACAGTAACTGAATTTGCTCATCTCAAATAGATGGTAAAAAGGCGGGAATAACTTGATGATGTCACCTACACAACATTTTGGTGACTTGAAGGTTGCGTTTGTTCAGTTTCTGCTTGTGGGATCTGCGGAGGCTTTCTGGTCCAAAGCTGCACGTGTCCTCCACCGTGCTCAGCATCCTCTCCTTGTGCAGCCGCAGTCCGATAAGAAGGTAGAGGATGCTGATGATCAGCACGGGCAGGATGAAGAAGACCAGCGTGGAAATCAAGATGATCAGGTTGTACATCCATTTGGGCTTGACCAACTCTGAGGATGGAAACGTAGCAATGAGGGATCGAATACGGCCAACTGTTATATCATTCAATCGTTTTTGTCCAACTTGCTGCCCTCGAACACGAATGGAACAATGCATTTCCTGGTTTTATTGGAATTGGTTGACATGTTTCTGGTGACCAAGGCAAAACCATTCCCCAATTTTTTTTTTCCCGAATAATTCTAGCTAAATTTTCTTAGGGTTCACGTGTCGGACCGTGAGTTCCAGGGACTCAATGGCGAACGATATGGTTCAGCCTGTGGGTTAGCACAGATGCTCTAAAGTACCCTCTTGGCCCGTCATGTTCTGATAGGGTCCCTCATCCTTCTCACATTCTGTCTAGACTTTCTACAAATGAAACCTGGACTCCAGGCAGCTTTTGGAGCATGTTTCTTGCGTCGGCCCGGCTGGTCCCCGGTCGGCCTCAGCGAGGTCCGGCACGCATTCACTCAACTCTTGTACCAAAACCGGGGCCCGATGACATCTGAGAGAAGTTCCATACTTACGGCAGATGGCAGAGCGGGGGAAATCTCGTCCAAACCTCGGCGGCAGCACCGCGATCCCGTGCAGACTGGTGTTGGGCACGGAGCACAGCATGGAGAGCGACCACAGTGCCAAGACCACCCTCTTGACGTGAGCCGACGTGGTCATGTGTTTGACCTTGAGGGGGTGCACCACGGCGATGTAGCGCTCCACGCTGAGGGCAGTCACATTGAGGATGGAGGCGAAGCAGACCGTCTCGAACAGGAAGGTTTTGAAGTAGCAGCCCCCCTCCCCGAACAGGAACGGATAGTTCTGCCACATCTCGTAGAGTTCCAGCGGCATGCCCAGAAGCAGAACCAGGAGGTCGGACACAGCCAGGCTCAGAAGGTAGTAGTTGGTGGGCGTCTGCATCACTTTGTAGCGCAAGATGACCGCGCAGGTGAGGGAATTGCCCAGGACGCCCACCGTGAAGATGGTCAGGTAGGTGACGCAGACGGGAAGGAAGACCGGCGACCTTGGGGGCCCCAGTTCCATGGACATGTATTCCTCTTCGCTCAAGCACATTTCTTCCACGTCCCGCTTGGTGGCGTTCTCCAAGAAACGGGAGATGTTTAGACCACACAAGAGAGCGGCGCTGGGGCAGCCGACATCGGTCGAGATGTTCACCGTGGGAGCACTTGCATGGGAGCAGATCGGTTCTGGCATCGTGCCCGGGTTGGGTTCTTGCATTCCCAACAGAGGAGATGAGGAGGAGACAGTTTCACAAATGAGTCGCTCAAGAAAAAAAATGTTTATTTCGAACATGGAAAATCAATACTCGACAAGGAATCACTTCAACCTAGTTTTCCATGTTCAAAAAGGAGTGGCAATAAATCGAGACATCTCAGGCTCTATTTTTGTCGATGGTCAATGTGGATGTACTGGCATTATTTTATGCAAAGTAGTTTAACAGATAAAATAAAACCTAAATAATGACGGGCGGCACGGTGGACGACTGGTTAGCACGTCCGCCTCACGGTGCACAGGTGCAGGGTTCGAATACAAGCTCCCGGTGCCTGTGTGGCTTTTCTCCGGGTATTCCAGTTTCCTCCCACATTTTAAAAACATACACCATAGGTGAATGGAAAGCGCTAAATTGTCCCAAGGTGTAATTGTGAACGCGAATGGTCGTTCGTCTCTGTGTGCCCTGCGATTGGCTGGCGACCGGTTTAACGTGTGCCCCGCCTACTGCCCAAAGACCGCTCGGATAGGCTCCAGCACGCCCGCGACCCTCCTGAGATCAGATAATGGATGGATGGACGGATAAATAATGATGGCCCAAATTCGTAAAAAAGTCAATACAAATGAATTCTTAATATTCCTATTGAAGGAGTTCCTACTTTACTGATGGTCTATTGGTATTGGGATACGACCCAACTCTGCACGAGCCTGAATAGAATGATCGGTGTAGAAAATGGATAGAAGGACTCCTCTTTGTCCCGCTGGATGTTTCTAAGATTAAGTGCTATTTGAACGTTTCATGAAATGAATCTAATTTCATGTCATGTGCCGTGTTGCATTTGTGCCTGGACTCCAGTGGAAAATGAGAAATGTGAAAAATATCTCCGTAACATATTTGCCTTCTCCTCTTTGTGTGTACATCATGCGTGTGATCGGGTCATGTGCACATCATCAGGAGTCCCTACAGGAAAAGCCTTTGCAGAAAATTGATTGATCAAAAGGATTCGATAATTGTCGGAAACCAAAGACCTCTCACTTCAAAGTAGGCTAGAATTAAAAAGTTGGACACGCAGCAATTCACCCACGACGACAGACGCTAAATTGTGTCACCGTTGGAATCCAAATCTATTCATTTGTTAGTCTCATTAACACTTATTCACACAGCTGCTTTCTCGATGAACAACACTTCAACGTGTCATTCAGTCGCAAGCATCCTGTTTCGCCAGCTTACATTATGCACATTCATTGAACTCATTCCACCACCATTTCATTATTTCAAGGACAAACCTTTCAATGTCCACGCGCTTTAATCCACGGTATATCATGAGTGCGTTTTAAATCATCGTTATGAGTGTATTGTCAATAATAAACTTCCCACATATTAGTTGCACAAATAAATTATAAATATACAATTTACTCGACTCTCTCCCTCTCTCCCAAATTGAGGAAAACATGACTTTTTTTCAGACAGGAGAACAGACCTATTAAATTTGACATTTCTTTCAACAAGTAATTTTAGGTAGCCTTAAAACCCCGAGCAACGACTTGCAACAAGTGTACTGGTACTGCTTCCACCTATCGAAATATGGCATTTCTTATTTGGAACAAAAACTCATAGCCAGATAAGACATCTGAATATCTCTTTGGTCATATATGTGTTCATGCAGATCTTTTTGCAGGGGTTCGCATTTATTTATACACGTGAGATTTATGATGATCAACTTGTGTGCAGAGCAGAAGAAAATGAAAACCCACCTGCAGATTGTAGTCCTCAAGGAAATAGACGCAAGTGGAAGCTACGGACCAGAACTTGAAATGTTGGTCTTCCTGTCAGAACAGAATGCAGCAGGCTGTGCTCTGGGTGACTCCGTGTCGTACGACTGCCTCAGATTCTCTGAGTGTGGGATAGAAACTTTCTCTCTCTCTCTCTCTCTCTCTCTCTCTCTCTCTCTCTCTCTCTCTCTCTCTCTCTCTCTCTCTCTCACATGCACACACACACACACACACACACAGGTGGGGTTTGTCACCAATGGAGAAATGCCCCATTCCAGAGTGACAAGGCAATGGATCCCATCATGGGGGGTGGGGAATAGTGGCAGTAAAACAGGCCAAATTCCAGATGCGGGCAAGACAAGATGCCTCTAGATTTGGTGTAGTTCAACGAAATGTAAGGGTGAAGAAATACAGTCAGTCTCGCATCTGTGGGGAGCCCCCAAATGGAGAATGCTGTACAACCTCCTGACTTCTTTTTTTAGCGTCAGTGACCAAGACGCTAGCATGTTGTGAGATAAGGCTCAGGATGGAACAGGGACAATGCTCAATCTTTGATATTTGGTGGCACAGAAGCGCAGGCGGACTCTATTGGTGTTTGGCTGCGGCAAGAATTGTTCGGGATGCTTGGTTTGTGTTGGCACCAGGATCCCCCCCTCCCCCCACCTCCAACACACACACACACATTATATATAAAAAATAAAATTAATCGGAAATTAACGTGCCAGTGGGCTCAGGCCTCCAACCGTCACAGTAGTGAAAACCCTAAACCCAAATATGGTCATACAATAACCCCAAAGTTGCGGACCCTCCAAGCTCATCTAGGTCAGCCGTATGGGAGCATTTCAACAAGGATGAGAACAGAGATGGAAAGTGCGGAGTTGACAAGACACAGACGACTTGCCGTAAGCACTTCAAAAGAACTTTCCCGAGTCACGGGCAACACGTCCGACATGTTAATGCACCTTCAAAGACACCATCCTGGAATTAATTGAATGGGGGGAGGGAAGAGTAACATAGTCTACTTTCAAAAAAGGATTTATTATATTCATAAATTATGTGTATTGTGAAGACAATAAATGTAATATTGTTATCGATTTATATCAAATGTAATATGATAAACTTTTTTTTTTTATGTTTATTTTGACAGTGACCTTCAGCTAGCAGCTAGACGGTTCCGCCTCAGCAAAAAGGCAGTAAGTGTGTTCATGTTCTTGATACTTGAGTAAATTAAACGGAAACAATGTCACACTGTTGGTTTGTGGCCAAGTAGACATCAAGAAACACTTTTTGCTTCGTGTAAATATGCAACACAGTTTTCAGCTGGAGAGTCATCGGTGGAAAAAAATGGAAATGTAGAATATAGTGGACTGCGTGTTTCGTTGCTCAGGCGGAAGATTTTCAAGGTCAAGGCAATCAATGACCTCTTTCTCCACACGGCTGCACCGCTGCCGTCTTTCAGGGGTAAAAGTAATCGAACAAAGGATGAGACAGGAAAAAAGCTCCGGGCTCACAAACAAACGATAATAAAAGCTAAATGTCTGCCCGGGAGAGAGTGCGAGTGGAACTTGTCAAATAAAGGGCGATGAAAGGGTTGGAGAGAATCATCAAGAGTCTGAAGAAGCAAGTATATAAAGACAGAGACCTTCACCTTCTCTTCCAAGATTGCACATGTCGAGGGGGAAAAAAAATACTCTTATAAATGTTTAACCTTTATATTTTAATAAAACAAGTGACTCGGACAAGAAAAAAATGCGAGTGGTTGATTGATTGATTGTTGGAGGATTAACAAACTTTTTTTTAAATAAAGGGGCTGGTTCAGTATAATGAAAAAAATTCAAACAAGGGAAAAAAAAAGTAAGATTTTTCTTGTCTTCAAAACCACAGTTTTCGCTTCCATGATGCGTGGGAAGGCCATCTAGAGACACAATGCCCTCTTTCTAAAAGCGCTTGACGGCATTGTGCTTCCCTTTTGACAGTCAACTCAATTTTATCTCTCGATCGCTGAGCAAAAACCAAACTGCAGCCTGAAAGAAAATTGGGAATCTGAAAATGAACACAGGCAGCCGGTGAAGGGAGGCAAGACGAGAAGTGGCGGGCTCACTCCTCCACGCTCCAGTTCATCATTTTGAGCAAACAGCTGTGTGAATTACGACTGGCTGACTCCAAAGTAAATTGCGTTACAACGTTTCGGCCGACGTGATGGAGACTGTTTCAAAATTTTCCTGTGAAACAAAAAGCGTAACCTTCAAATGCTGGCTTTGCCAACACCAGCAATTTCTTGTATTTTTAAAAAAAAATTATTTGTTTTTTTCTTTTTTTAAAGAAGTTTTTTTAGGACCTTTGAGATCCACTTGTTATGTTTTGGTTTCCTTTTGTAGTTTCACTCGACAGCTTAATAGTTTAAATATTCTTTGAAATCCATTCTAAACTATCAGGATACCTTTCTGTCGATACTAAATACCACTCTTGATTAATTCTGCAAATTCTTTCATGCATTACTCCTCTATTGTGATTTAATTTTATTTATGTATTTTATTTTTAAATCTTGATTGTTCGCAATCATATAATGGGAACACTAGCAGGCTCCCACTGATGTTCTCTTTTAATTTCGCGCATACTTCGCAACTCTCAGTGACGTTGGTGACTATTTTCTATTCACTTTTCACAATGAGAAGTGCTCCGGCTGGATCTGGAAATGTTTCAGGGAGAGGTTGAGGCGGCAGTCTGGTGTATGACCTACATCATTACGCTTTGAAAAAACGTCACTTATGGAGGTTTCTTTGTGTGTGTCTGACGCAAAATCCCATTTCTGTGGGGGGGTCTAACTGCTCTGGCCTCTTTTCAGCTATCTCCCAAACCAAGACCAGAGTTCTTAGACTGGAAAATTATTTTAAAAAAACAAAACAATCAACTGAATCCCACTTTCCTGGCACTTCAGCCAATCTCAACAGGTTGACTAATTGCAGTGTTTGTATGCGCAGTGATTTCAGGCTACTTACGAATGGAGAGAGGTCACATTACTTTGTGTGAACAGTAGCATTAAAGAGAAAAAAAACCCGACGGAATCTTGCACTCAACGGCTTGTGTAAGCGCTCGATTAAATAATTCGCAAGGGAGCAAATGCATATAGGAGGTTTTGCTGACGTATATTCCCCATTAGGGGAGTAATTGCCGCGCGTGGGGACTGACGTATATCCACGTTCAGTTGGTAACTGCCAACACAGGCACAGTGATTTTAAATTAAACTGATACCTTGGGACAGTTGATAAATCCATCTTTACAAAAAAAAAAAGGAAGCCGGATAAGGTAAAGCCTCTCCTTGCACAACAGCACTAAGAAACAGTAATCCATTTCTTTTTTACATCTGGGTTGAATTATTGTAATGTGTTATATCAGACAGTCCTCCCTCAACCATCTCCAGTTGGTCCCAAATGCTGCTGCTCGCCTCCTTGAGCTCGGAGGAGGAAGCGCATAACTCCAGTTCATTTTAAGATTGTTTTATTT